AGCTCTGAACAGAGAGACTCTGCTCAAGTTCTATCAAGAGTCCTGGCTTAAACTTGTCGACGCTATTGCGAGCTTGATCGAACAAGACAGCGAGTTTGTGTTTGATGCTCTCGATGGAAAGGAGTCTGAGGGGCTGAGCACGAACGGTCACACCAAGGGACCTGACATCAACTACCGCGACGAGCCGGTCGCGTTCTTTTTCGTCCTGTTCGGAATCGCATTCGAGGCTCTAGCTACGCGCCCGGGTCAAAGTGACTCGTTGGCCACCCAAGAGCAGAACCTGGCCATTCTGCAGGCCCTCAAGAAGATTCTCCACCCGAGTGTATCTGGTCATGCAATTTACAGAGAGGCAATCTTCTCGGAGACTATGGATTTGCTTGACAGACTGGTGTTGACAGAAGGACTCGACGTGCAAGGCGTCATTGTAGAGATTGCAAGGGCACTCTGCGTTTCCCACCCCTCGGCACGCAAGAAGGACTCTGGCGATGACGGTGATCTGTCAGACGACATTGATCAGCTTTTCGAGCTCACACGCATCATCGTCCTGGTCCTAGCTGGCCTGCTCCCCAACCTCACAGAGGCAAACCAGCCCGGCCGTCACCAGATGACTGAGGAAGCCGTGCTTCTCATCCGCTCATCCCTAAATGCGCTCGTTGATGCTGCCGAGGTCTTCCCCTCCATCATCAAGACCGACCTTCACGCCTGTATCATTCACATCCTGGCTACCATCCTTGCGACTCCCGGATGTCAGGAGGTCATCGTTCCGCAGTCGCTACCCACCCTCAAGCGCTTCGTCACGAGTATGACGAAATCCCGCAGGGCGAGCAGCGGCGAGGACGGCAGCGGCCCGTCACCCACGGATGTACAGCTGCAGGGTTGCCTACGCCGATTCCTTTCGATTTACCTTAACGCGCAGAAGCGAGAGGTGCCAACATCCCTCACCTGTGTCAAGAATTGTCTACTCGCGAGCACCATCCTATTTACGGGCGGCACGAACCACCTGGCGGCGAACGATGCTCTTGTGGCAAGATACCTTGATGAGGTGGTCGACTGCCTGACGGATCGCATGGTATGTAGTTATCTGAAGATCCCTTTAACGCATCGAGATATGTGACTAACATTCGGATGAAACATTAGACGGCCAAGATCGCTGCCAACTGTATCAGGTCGCTGCTTCTGCAGGGCAACCCTACTCCGGCAGACCACACCATTGCGCGCTACCTCCTCCCGCGCCTCGTCGCATTTGTGACCAACACGACGCCAGAGGACCCGGAGAACGCCCGCTCCATGATTGCGCACTCGCTGAGCCAGTACGTCGGCGTGGTACCCCGGGACCGCGTCCCCGTTGCCATGGCGCTCGTCCTGCCGACCTGCCTCGCGCGTGCCTCCTCGGAGGGCGAAGACTGCTACAGGGACACGTCGGCACGGTTGCTGGAGCTGGCGGCCATTGACCAGAACGCGTTCCGCACCGTCGTGGCGAGCATGAGCGACGGGCAAAAGGCCTTCTTGGAGGAGGTCATCCGGTGGGGACGGCAGCAGGGGCCTACGGAACAGGCCGCGAGCGGGGTGACGGGTCAGCCGAGCATCGCGTTGAAGATGGACTTTGGAGGGTGATATGTGATCAAGTTTTTATGGTTACTTTTCGTCGTTCACCCCATCCGTGAGTCCGTGACGAGGAGAAGTAGCAGAGTTATACGTAGTAAGAGGAGAAACACTGGAGGTGAATGCGGCGTTGGGAGGGTGGTAGCATTGGGGGAGGGAAGATGGCATTAGACAGACGCGACTTGCTGCCGGGTACACTTCCCTGCAGGAAGCCTGAGGCAATAGAGAAGGAGAGGTTTTTCAAAAGTAACTGTTACAAAAGAGCAAGAATACATGCCGGCGAAGCCCATAGGCCGATCCTCGTGTTTCCGTCCCCCCATCACCTAGGGATTACTGATTTCCTATTCGTTGCGATGTGTCAGAACTACGGAATACTGGATGGAAGATGTCGCTTGCCGGAGAGGGCAGGGGGGGGCTAGGGATTATAAACGTATCCCGTCAACTCGGATCTCGCATATCCACGGTTTTGGAAAAGAAAGTATGCTACTGTCGGTCGCCGTCCTTTCTCATCCGGCGTGGAAGGGTTCTAGGTGATTTGATAATTCTCATCCGGCCTGGGGCCTTCTCCAGCGAGCCGGCTGGTGTTCCTTTTTCCCCTTCGAGAAAGAGGGTGGCGATGGTGGTGGTGGTGGTGGTTTACGTGCAGGAGGAGAGAGAGGGTGGTGAGGAGGGACAGACATCACGTCACGTTTCACGGCTTCTCTATGTCTCGAGGGGTCTAGAATCAGAAAAGGGGTCCAGAACCAAGAATCAAGAAAGGTGTGGCGTTTCGTTAAAAGCACCATGCTTCGGCCGAAACCCGAATTCTCTCCTGGTGGCTAGCTTATGTCGAATGGCCTCTGGACACAGCGGACTCCTTCGCACGTCGAATTCCTCGTCTTCGTTTTCTAGATATCCCAACAATATTTCGCTAATCATTGCTCTCCTTTTGGGAACGGGCCACCATAAACGCCACTGTTTTCGTACAGAGTAGGTACCCTTACATGAGATACCTTAGATAGACAGGAAGCAGGAGGCAGGCAGAAGGAGAAATGTAATCCGTCTTACCGTACAGTAGATGTAGGCTTTTACGCCAGCGTATATGCAGGTAAGTAACCGCGTACCGCTCACCCGTCCCCCTCTAACCCGTGCCGTGCCATCGATTTCATCGGCATGAGACCGGGGACTTGTCGACTCTATACTTCGTCTCCAAACGGGTGGATGAACGGTGGAGGGAAGCAGGCGGACAGAAATTTGGCGGGAGTGAATGGGGATTTGGAATTGAGGAACACGTTTCCAAGTGTACGTTTGACGTATATGGTCCTGCTTCTCTGGATTCGCGCGCCTGGATCTGGGCCACTGCCAGTATGTGTGCTCATGGATTTCCCCAGTCTCCTGGACCAAATGGAACGTGGATATGCTCTGGATGTTTGCTAAAGCATTACCAGGATCAGGCTGGGTTCGTGGCCGGAGCCGAGACCAACGAGGTGGAAGACATACATAGGTAGTTGCATGAACCCTCTCCCAAGTTTGATGTGTTGGTGTGGTGAAGTCAATGTCGTCACTCTAGGCTTTTCTTTCTCTTGCCTAGCCTCGGTCCAGAAGCACCGGCTAGGCTTGTATCCGTACCGATGTAGCGGTATGGAGGAACACGCAGCATGTAGCCATGCGCAAGCGCGCGGCGGGTATTGGCGACGTGGCTGTTTTCCAAGACCATCCAAGAGACAAGAGAGAAACCGGGGTGGAGGGAAAGTGAGGCCAGATCCTACGAGGCTTATCACATCTCATCGAATCAGCTACACCATTACCGGGACCAGGTTTTCATACGCCAACAAAAGGCCATAGACGGTGTGCTGGGATCCCCTTCTTACATTATTGTCGAGATGAACAGGTGGTCCGTAGCGCAGAAAACCAAGTGCATGTTTGCTTGCTTGGTCCAAGGAGATCATCTGTCTGGGCCACTGGTGGCTCTGTTCTGCATCCCCTACCACCACCTCTTCTTTCCGGGAGCTGCCGTGAATCAAATGCGGGTTTGTGGAAAGTGGGCAGCTGCGGCACGGCCTTGGTCGGTATGGCATTCGCTAGTGTGCCAAGGTGAGGAGAAGGAGGTGACGGATCGTAAGTCTCGATGAATCAGATTCTGGCAGTTCGTCATTCTCCTATTGCTTTCCCAAATGTATCCCTTTTGTTACCCGAGGGGCCGAGGACTTGTCGTCGGGGAGGCGGACGTTGTCACCGGATTCAAGCGTCCACAGCTCCGTGACTGCGACCGCATAATACAGGCGTATGTACGTAGAGTCGGGCGGCATATGCATAGCACTTCGCTCCCTTCACTGCCTGTCGCTTTACCTCCACAGTGATCTTGCTCTCTTTTCTTTCTTTTTTCGCCCTCCCCTTTGAGATCGCCTCACAGGATGAATCAGGAGTAGTTATAGATCGTGCAGGTGAGACAAAAGCTTTCATCAGCCTAACGGCTTAGAAGACGTTAGTCCTCTCCCAAGCCGGCCCTCCACACTTTTACGACGTACCCGATGGATGCGGAGTTGACAAGGCGGATGGCTGCATAAGACCTCTGCCCCGTGTTACTACCACTAGACTGGCGTCGGCTCAAATTCCGAGGGGTTCTGTAGTCCGTTCACGGGCGAGGGTTGTACGAGTATGTCATTACGCACTTCAGCCGCCTTGGGATGCATTGCCTGCCGCAACCCGGGCTTTGTAGCAATTTAGAAGCCGATAACACCCCATCTTTACTCTTCCGTGTATCTTGAACGAGTGTCGGCTGAGTTGATACTCGTGGGAGGTATTTGATCCGGGAGATTTGACTGTTGGCAGTGAGCCCTGTTCCGCATCTGGATGCGTGCTTCTCACTCGCTACTCCGGGTCACCAATCTCGGTATCCCACCAACCAGAGCCCCCAAACTTCATCAGTCGCTATGTCTAGCGCAGGATGCAGGATGTAACGACTGCGTTGGCTCCCTTGGATGTTGCTTGGCCCGAGGCTGCGTCTGAGCCGTACACGCTGTTCGTTCGTTCAAGATTCGTTTCGGCCATCACGAGATTTAATCAACATGCATCGAGTCGCCCGTCTTTGCCTTGTAGGTCCAATCGGGAGGGTTGGAGTAGTCAAATCGACCAAATTGCCAAAATTGTCCGATTCCTTCCAATTACATTATTGGTAATGGTCCCCAAGCGCCATCGGGCGATGAGCGGATGGCGACAAAATCCACAATGCCTGCTTCGTTAAATACCATGATCCGAAAGAAAGTATGACGGTCCTAGCTAGCACAATAAATGTCTTGCAAATGCAAGAGTTAAGTAGAAAAACTCCATCTCAACAGAGGCACAACGCATCAAGCGCCTGGGGACAAGTCGTTTGATGAGCGTTCGCTGGCTGAAAGCACTGGCAGAGTGCCTTCCTTTCATTGTTTTCTCTCCTTGGACTCCGGTTTAGTACGGCGTGTGCTACCGTCGGCAATCAACGGGCGTTTCTTTGATGCTTGCGATTGATGAGAAGATGACGAATCGCCTGATGGCTGATTACTACTCGAGTTGGGCGTTGCCGATGCTTTGGACTTCTCGGTCGATCTCTTCTTTTTTGCCGGGTCGCCGCTCTTCTTTGGACGAGACACTGGCTTTTGTGGTTGTCCTCCGGTGATTCCTTCGCCGATGGAACATGATTCGCTCTTGTAGCTATTCCAGTCCTTTACGCCGAGTGCTTCGGAATTGCTTCCTGCAGTACCTGGGGTCTGGAAGGTGGTGTCGGTTTGGCCAGAGGAAGTAGAGTACGTGCCCGGACTAAAACCGTCGTCTGCATATAACATGGCTGGCTGTTGAGTGCTGTAGTCTCGACGAAAACCACAACTATTCTGATCCCACTAAAGGATACGGAACGTCAGTAAACTTCTCTTTATGGGATATTGTCTTGCCGATGGTCTTACCTGAACATACGATGCTTCAGGATAGGAATCATACGAATACGGGCTAGTCTGCTGATAGTTTGGATCTGTGTATTCAGGCCTTTGCGATCTCGTGCGCGTAGATGCTGAGTTCTCGGTGACCTCAACATCCTTTATCATGATGGGGTTTGACATGTTGCGATCGTCAAACATGATCCGCCTGCCGTGGAACACGCCCTCCTTCAGGCGATCTCGAATGTGTGTTAGCGAATGGCTTGACGTCGCCAGCCGATCGGGTACACCCACCACAGGCACCATAGAAATTGTGTTGGCCCAACACCCTAATCCAGCCAGACGTACTAGGTCCAAAGATTTGAACATGGTCGACCACACAACCTTCGCGGAGCCAATCCTTGAATTGCCTCCAATTTGTGTCGAAAGGCAACTGTCTCGTCTGTCAGGGTATCGGCTCATTTGCGGTGTAGTCGGTGTCACGAACGTTTGCTATAGGTATGTAAAAGACTCCGGTTTCCTGACCGGGACGAGCCAAGTACGGTTGCATGTTGATGCGGGACGACGGAAACCAACTCCTGGCACGGGCTCTGTCCAACGTTAGACGCCAACGTCTTGACTTTGACTGGTGGCTGTGTGACGGTACGAAAAATCAACCACTGCCAGGATCTCGTGGGACACAAGATCCAGTGATGAACCACAAAGCCTTGGCCTTCCTCGAATCGATTCGGGCAAACAAAGGAAGGAGGTGATGATTTGAGGTGGTGAGGAGAGAACAATGGAATTCGTCTTTTATATTGGGCTAGTTCTCTCCATCCTCCATGTTTCCTCGTAGAAACCGCGGAGAACAACATGGCCAATGAAGAGAAATACTTGTCTTTAGTTCGAGGAAAGGGAGATTTCTGCTAGTGCTGCCCCCGGGTTATCCCAGTCTGAACCGGTACTTGGCAGACAGACATTCCATCTTCGTTGGAAGTAGTCGTCCTGGCCTAGGTACCCGAACCCATGTGCTACGCTTTGGGGTTTCCTTGTCTGTGCCAACCAACACATCCGCTGGTGAGTCGGCCGAATGGGTCGACCGGACATGGTATGGGGTCAGCAACGATCTGGTACCGATACCCGCAGTACATGCGGCGCCAAAGAACGTCGCAACGAAAAAGGTGTGATGCAGCTCATTTACTATTAGATCGTGCCATTGAGTTCTCCTCCCTTGTAGCATCGTAAAAATGACAGCCACCATGTGGGGTCCGGCTTGATGCAAGCTTGTTCTGGGCACAGTCACCAATCGCGCGCATAAGCTCTTTGGCTGTTGTTGGGTCGAGCAAGACGGCTGCTATCATTATCGAGTCATCCGAAAATATGTGCCGTGAACCTGGTCATTGGAGGCTGCGATGTAAGCTGCAGCCCGGCAGTAGACAGGATTCCTCCCTTAAGTTGCTTGGAAACCAAAGAAACGAGTGAACAGGGCTCCAATTTTTTCTCGATGATAGCCAGAAAGGCTTCCCTTTTCGACTAACTCGTCCCGATCCGGAGAGGGAGCTAGGGACACCATTGGGAACAATGACCAGGGACCAGCGGTTTATCAGATGGTCCATGAACAGCTGAAAGTGCTGATCAAAATCCGAATGCATTCTGAGCCTTTGCCCTTGATCATCTACAGCCAATGGCAAGTTCGAGTGATAGACTCGAGGGGAGCAGGCTCGGACTGAGAAAGTTCCATCATAGACCCCTGCAGTAAGTTGGTTCGATGCTGTGCCGCTGTACGTAGCCTGCAACTCCAACACATTGTAAAGCCTGGGCTTGCGGGTAGTCGATACAAATAAGCAAATAGGCGTCAGTTGAGAGAAGCCGCGAAGGACAACATCCACTAAGCGCGGTGCTGGTAAGCCACGTCAACCTGTCAGAATGATGAAAAATTCCCCAGAGGAGCGCCAGTAAATACCAGAGTTCGAGCGACGAGCAGACGAATTTTGCACAGTTTCGTGTAAAGCCCTGTCCTTCAAGCCATGTTGCGGCTGTCCGCAAGAGATGCGAACGCTTACCACTGACAGTCCTTCCTCGTGAGGATGGTTTGCGCAAGGTGGCTGCGGCAGCAGCATGCTTAGAGCTTGGAAATGACCACAACTTTCTGCATCAAGTCGGTGCGGGTGCTGTATCCATCATCGCGCTCGGCTGCACCACCGCGCAGCCGCGGGTAGCTGGGAAACCAATAAGATCTGCGTGACACCCGCAGGTTTGGGGCTTGTCTTCGGATGGTTGGTCGGGGAAGCTTCTGGTGCAGCCGTCTTGAACCAAAGTGGTGGCGCTGCTATCGATCAAGTCCTTTTGAAGGAGAAGGTGTCGTCTACCTCGGACATGTCTAGACCGGACAGATCCTCGTCGAAATCGTCCAGTGCAGGTGCCTCCATCTGCGTCTCATCCTTGCCAGTGGTCATTGTCAAATCATTGCGCTGCGCGTCTTGCCATGGAGCTCCGGACTCCTCAGCTTCCGCAAGTGATGCCATGAGATGATGCTTGCTATCTCCCAGCAGGAGAACGGCAGAATCGCCAGTCCAGTCGAGCCACGATGCTTGGGGCTTGCCCAACACCTTGGCATCGGGTAGCTGCCCTCTGAAGTGAACCGTCTTCGGGCCGTCGGACAAGGGGTCCCAGACGAACACCAAACCTGCGTAGTTGTCTCCCTCGCACGTAACCATGAGCACTTCGCGCTGTTTTGGGTGCCAGGAGAAAGCCAAAATTTGACTGTGGAAGATGAGAACGGCGCGCAGTTCAGATGACGCCAAATCCCAGACCCAAACAGTGCTTGGGCAGTCCTCCAAGGTGGTAGCTAAAAGACTGGATGATGCATCAAAGACGGAAAAAGTGCGGGCTAGCTTGGTGTCGACAATGCCGTTGCTCGCTCGGCCCGGAGCAGATACGGACTGGGTCGCGCGCGAAAAGGAGTGCTGTGAACCTGATTGGGTCATGGCGATCTCCTCTTGCCAGATCTGGCATCCTCGTGTTAGTCTACGCCAAAATTATTGCACAAAGATAGGTTGTGTCACCCACCTGAACGGTATCCCTCGGAGTAATGGTTGCAGGATGTTCGAGTCTCATCGACTCGGCTGCGGACTTGGTTTCCAGAACGCATACACTGCGAGTGTGGTCGCACACTGCAATGCGAGCGCCGTCCGGGCTGACTTGACAGTGCTTTACCCCAGCGCCGAGTTCGTAATGCTTCTCCTCGATGGCCCAAGGTGAGGGTCCAGACCACGTCTTGAAGAGGTGGCCGTCGGGCGTGTAAAACAGGATTTTGTGTCCTTGAGCCGCAGACTCCCACATAAGGAGCCAGCGGCCGTCCGGGGTCCAGGCCAGTCCTTGAGCATCGACAGTATCGGGCTGCCAAGAGCGAAGGACTTGTCGTGTCTTGGGATGGTGAACACTGGCGATATCTTTACCGGCGACGCGTGTGAGGATGGCCAAATGTCCTGAGCCGGGGCGAAGTGCAAAGCCACGAGAAGCTACACTAGCTTGGTGGAATTTTGGGTTGCTGATCTCGGTGGTTCTCGAAGTGGCCAGGTCGAAGATGGAGAACTTGAGGCCGTAGGATGAGCACATGAAGATCTCGGTGTCGGAAGCGCCAAACTGAACAAAGGTAGGCTTCAGATTAGGGGTTGCGGGGTTTCGTATGACGCCACGATAACCTGGACCCGAAGCTGAGTAGATCAGAACCTGGTCAGAGAAGCAGGCGAGAATGCGTCTTGACGAAGGTGACCAGCGCAAAGCATAGGCAGGACCGACATTGGACGGTAATTTGACGCTATGAATAGTCTCGAGGGTTTCGACAGACCGTACACTGACGCTGGTGGGCGACAAGGTTGCAATCAGGTTACCATCAGGACTTGACGCGCAATGCGGCGATGCTGTCGATGGTAAGCCTTGGGGAAGAGGATGGATGAGAAGACGCTGAGATCCTTACATTTAAAGATCCTTGAAAAGTGCATGATGCATGGAGTTGAAGGAGTTGTGTGTTGGGGGGCGCGAGAGTGATATCAAGCCCAGGTACGGTACTTTACTTTGATCAGGTACTTATGATGCGTATTCGTAAGATACCTACCAAAAGGCGAGCCTGACTTGTTTAGGAAAGTGAGACAAAGTAAGTAAAGGTCTACTCCGTACCGAGTATTACTTGGGGAAGTAGCAAGGGACGGGTGTTTTTGCCGAAACGAAACGAAGCAGGGTTTCTTTTTGGTCTTTTGGGTGAGGATGAATTGGGCAAGCGTTCCTGAGTCTCGGCAGCGGTGGAGTCTTGAAGAAAAGCCGTTGTTGCAATGGAAGGAAACAAGGTGCTCGTCTGCATCTTGGTTGTTTACATTGATTCCTGTTTTGGACTAGCGCGGGGCAGCAACACAAGATACCTCACCGGGAGGGCTTAGTCAGGTCGCGCTTTCTACACAGCACACAATGGTCCAGTGTCCGGGCTCTCTCCGGCTCCATGGAAGTTGCCGGCCGGACGACGATGGGAAAGAACGCCGGGAACCAATCACCACTGCCCTATTTCGCCAGCACCTCAGACGCCGCCGAACCCCGCCAGAGTCCAGACATCCTTCGCCCAACTCCGTCGGCCCCGGTGACCTGTGCTTGTGCTTGTGCATACGCCCTTCAGCGGCACTGAGCGGCTCTTTTCCCCCTCACTTAGTCTCACTTTAGGTGCAGAGTAGTCGCTGTAGTGTTGTCTGTCGTCTATCGACGGGCTTACCTCACTCACAAATAGGTAATCGCCACGCTTCTGCTGACTCACAGTGTCACATATCTCATCGCCGTGATAGCAATTTCACTCCTCACTCTCGTTCGAATCTAGTTTTCATCCATTTCATAGCCTCTACTTTCATCTCATCAACAACCATCATCACATGTCAGTGTCTGTGTCAGCCATGGGAATGAGCAGCGTGTGATTATTCCTCTTTTCTCTTTTCTCGGAGCTCGTCTCACTCATCGCCTTTCATACTTCCTCATACTGAGATAGAGCGACATGAGACACAGCATATCATGGCCTCGCACTGCCTTGCGCAGCAGCGGCCAGCTATCACAGCGATGCAGACCATCACAGTCGGCATGCATACCTCACACGCACACGCAAAGGAGGTGTCTGAATGCGGCTGCCGCTGCAGCCCAAGTCACACCGAGCTCCCAACACCAACCACTCACCACCCGCCGGCGTCTCATCAAGGATGCGAAGCCCTTCTCCGACTTCCTCACCGATACCTTCCACCGCCAGCATGACTACCTCCGCATATCCGTCACGGAACGCTGTAATCTTCGCTGCCTTTACTGCATGCCCGAAGAAGGCGTGCCGCTCTCCCCGACAAAGGAACTTCTCACCACCCCGGAAATCGTCCTGCTCTCCTCCGTCTTCGTCTCCCAGGGGGTGACCAAGATCCGCCTGACGGGCGGCGAGCCCACGGTGCGCCGCGACATCGTCCCGCTCATGCACCAGATCGGCGCCCTCCGGCCCCACGGCCTCCGCGAGCTGTGCCTGACCACAAACGGCCTCTCCCTCCACCGCAAGCT